TAAAAATATAAATTTTAAAAAAATGAGAAATATTATTTATATAATATTAAAAATTATATCTTGAATTGAAAGATAATTACGAGTCATCTTTAAAAGATTAGAAAATTCTAATTCATATAACTATAAATAAATAAAATATAAATTATATATATATCAATATTTAATATTTAATATAAATTTTTATATTTAATATTATACCTTCCAATATGATAATGTATCTATTTCAAAATTAGATGCAGGTTTTTTTAAATAAGATTCCAATTCATCTTTATACATTACTTTTTGCTTTTTAAAAATATAATTAGTTAATGCTATTTGTTTTGATGTCAATATATTTGATTCTTGATTTTCATCAGGTTTATATTTACTTTTTCATAGATCAGTAATTTGTTATTTATATGTTTTAATATATCTAGGATCAAAATTATTTTCTTTAAAATAAGTTAATTTCAAATGAGAATCCAAAACTATTAAAATATAAAACAAAAGTATTAATTATTAAAATTTAAATAAATATAAAATATAAAGTAAATATCCTACTTGTTGTAATAATATATACTAAACTATCAAAAGTTAAATAATAATCTTCAAGTTTTTGTGTTAAAAGATTTATAGCATCATTTACATCAGTTGAAAGTTCATTATTTTGTTGAAATTCTTCAATATTATCAAATAGAAAATTGTAAACTGGAATAGTTTGACCTAGAATAGGAAATTTTGATATACTCATTTCCAAGGTAGCATCTTTAAAACATTATAATAAATTATAATTAATATATTTTTATCAAAAAATATTTATTTTTAACATTATAGATTATAATTAATATATTTATCAAAATTATTATTTTTAACATTAATTATACCTTTAATAAATCTTTTATATTGTTTAACTTGTTCCATTCTTCTTCATTTAGCAAATATATAGAAAGGTTATTATCAACAGATGCCATATTATAAAGTGACTAATAAAAAAAATATTTAGATATAATAAAAATCAATATTCAATAATTAATATAAATTCTTTTTACCTCACGAAGAAATATTGCTCTTTCAATTATATCATATGTAGAATTTCACCTGATTTTTATATCAGGAATTAATTGAAGTTCCTTTATATTAACAGCTTTGCATTGTTGATAAAATCGTTCACGTCATAATGGAGAAGCTTTAATTTTAACCACCAATTTTTTTAATTTTACTATAACTCCTAAAGAAGTTTCATTAATAAATTCTTTTAATATATTTTATTCATTTTCTGGTTCCAATCCTTGTAATGCTTTTAGAATAGTTTGAGTAGCAAGATTAATTATATGTGCAAGGCATCGTACACATTGATTTTCAGAACTAAATGCAATTCCTTCATCAGCACAATAAATATCCAAATAATTAAATATTGTATCTATATTAGATGCATTGTCAGTAGTAACTCCTAATATCTAATATACATATTAATAAATAAATATATTTAAATAATCAAAAACCAATATAACAAAAATAAACTAACCTTATTCAAAATTCCATATTCTTTTATTGTATTAAAAAAAACTCTTGCAAGATTT